TCCCCCAGTCGCCAGGCTCGGCTCCTCCCCGACACGGAAGCAGGTACCTTAGCACCGTCGTTCCCAGGAGCACCATTAGAACCACGTGGACCCTGTGGACCGGGAGCACCTTGGACACCACGCTCGCCGGGGAACCCTCGCTCGCCCTAGGGGGAGGAGAGAGAATGGTGACTGGTGGCAGTGCCATCCAGAGGGCAGCCGGGAGAGGACCAGAGGGGCAGGAGATGGCTCCCTGCTGCGGGAGTGGATGGCTACTTACTCTTGCACCAGCAGGACCGGGGGCACCAGCGTCTCCGGGGGCGCCCTGTTCCGGGGGAGAAGCAGAAAGCAGAGTGAGGGGCCAGGCCTGGGAGGTGCCGGGACGCCTCCTGGAGACACCCCAGCTCTGTCCCAGAGCTGCCTGGGGTGGAGCAGGGAAGGGGACAGCTGCACCCCAACCCCTTGCTGCCTCCGCCTTGCCCCCCTGGAGTCTTGCACAGAGGGTGCCGGTGAGAGACGGGCGCACGCTCTGGCCCTGGGCACCCAGGCTGCGCAGGCGTTGGCTCTTCGCGACAGGCTCCAGAATCCAACGGCCCAGTTTAGAGGGGCTCAGCTCCAGGAGAGGTTGGAGGCCTGGAGCCGCGAGCCCGGGCCTTGTCGAGTTTCGTGTCCCCAGCCTGGGAGAAGGACTTTGGCGGGGGTGGGGAGGGGCAGGAGCTCTCAGGAGGGAGCCCGAGCGAAGCCCCCAACACAGGGCACAGGTGGGTTGGAGCGTGGGGACGAGGGGAGGGCGCGAGCGCCGTGGGGCAGGCACCCCTCCTTGGCGTTCCGTGCTAAGCAGAGTCACGCTCCTCCTGGCACTCACCTGCTCACCGGGCTTGCCACTTTCACCAGCGGGTCCAGCGGGGCCGGGCAGACCCTGGGCAGAGGGGAAGAGAAAAGCCCAAGTGTTGAGATTTCCTGGGAGAAGGCGGCGCGGGAAAGCAAAGGGACACATCTCCAGCGGGGCCCTGCAAGGGAGGGGAGAGTGTGAGGCGGGACCCAGCGGGGTTTGGAGCAGGGGGCCGGGGCGAGAGGGGTTCGTACTCACAGCAGCGCCAGGAGGTCCCTGGGCACCAGCTTCACCATCTTTACCAGGAGCACCCTGGGGAGAGAAGAAGGAAGGGGTGAGAAAGAGTTCGGCACAGATACTGAGTGAGCCTCAGATGAGAATGGGGTGTGAGCATCAGGGGAGGGGTGGGGAGTCCAGGGGCCTCGAAAGCAGAAAACCTCAGAGAGGCCACAATAGCTGGCCTCATGGAGGGTTGTGGA